CATTCCTTGCCCATAAGTAACTTCTCTAGAGTCAAAAAAAATCCCAGCAAATCATTCCAAAAAAAAAAAAAAAAGAGAAAATCCTCATAAATCCAAATTTCTATTTTTTCCACCTTCCATACTCTCTTTAACATGGAATCATCAAACGATATTCCTTATGATGTCATTCTTAATGAGATTCTAACAAGAACCTCAAAAGAAACTCTTGAAAGATGTAAAGCTGTTTGTAAGAGATTGAAAGAAGACACTTACCGCTCAAGTTTCACCAAACTCTTCCTTCAAAGAACGAAAACGGTATCCGGTTTCTTCATCCAAAGCATGAGAAGCAACCAACGTTCATCCACTTTTATGTCCATGGATGCTAAATCCAAACTTTCTCTCAGCTTCTTACCAAGCAATTTCAAGATTGAAGCGTCTAACAAGCAAGGTCTTCTTCTCTGCAAGATAGAGAAATTTACGAAATCAATAATTCCTTAATACATCGTCTGCAAGCCCACAACGCGACAATGGCGGAAAATACCTATTCCAAAGACGCGGTACTTCACTCGAAAAACCGCCATGGTTGTGTTGGGATCAAACCCTTTGTGGTTCAAAATTACTAGGTTTTCATAGCCCAAGAATCCTTGTACAATTCATAAGTATGTAGTACTATTTAACACCCTAAGATGCGAGATTTTTGATTCGAAAACTTGGTCACGGAAGTGCTTACCAGAGAACGTCATGTTTCCTTATGGCGAGACCTTGGATTTCAAGCATTATATGGTATGAATGTCTTGTTGGTTTCCGAATAGAATTTGGATGCGGAAGCGTGGGGATAGCGGATCAAGTATAACAAAAATTTTCATAAAATCTTTGAGATACTCTATAGATTATATTAATTTATGCACGAATAAATTAATCACATTAATTAATTTATTAAGAACTCAATTAGGAATAATACTTGGCGGTCGATTAGGATGATAACTTGAGTTCTATGACCTCGAACAATCCTTGCTCTAAAGCCTTGTGTTTAGAAAATCAATGTCTTCTACGTCAATTCTTAGAATCTACGAAGACGTGTGTGGGGGCACACCTGAAACAAAACGGGTTAGAATAAACACTCAAATTTCCACAAACACTAACGCATGCACGATGTGGAATTTTTGGAGAAAAATATTTTTCCTCTCACTCTATAGAGAATTTTGGCCACACTTAGAAAAATTGGTCAAAAATTGTGTCTCACAATTTTCTATCATTCTCTTATTTATAGAGTAGAAGTCAAACTTCTAGAAGGAATCCAATCTTTATCTCTAAGATAAAGCTCGTTAATTATCTCCTATTTGAATTTGGAACAAAATCTCCTATTCCTTATCCTTAATGTGGCCGGCCATGCATAGGGATTCTCATCCCTATGTGGCGCTAATTACAGAGAAGGAAGGAAGAGAAAATCATCATTTATCCTGCAGTCCAATTTTAATTCAAATTCAAATTTCAATTTAAGTCAAACTTAAATTAATTTGAATTCTAAATTGAACAACTTATCAAATAAGTTTAAAAGAATAAATTTAAATTATGTTCACAATTCAAATTCAAATTTAAATAATAATTAATTCTCAATTAATTATTTTTGAGTGTTTAATTTTAGAATTTCGTAATTCTAAAATTCCCATTTTACCCTTTGTGTTTGGTAGAATTACAAGGACGATGCGGGGACTAATGGACCTATAATCCCGAGCTCCAATAAAATTAATAATTAATTAAACACTTTAATTAATTAATTAATTCCATTAATTCTAATAGTTACTCCATTATAAACTTAGAATTGCACTCTCGTAATTATACACATAAATTACTTCTAAATTGTGAGGTGTCCATTTGATATAGTCACTGCATATAGATCAATCTTCCATAAATAATTCATAATTAGAGCTAGGTAGAATCCGTTAACCTCTCTAATTATATCTTCATCCTTGAGTACCATTGATTCTCTAATGGATAGTGATTCATAAAACACATTCATGAACCAGAACGCTCTTACTAATCCAAGTACCGAATCAACACTCAAGAGAATTATTTATCTGTTTCTTTCTCAAGAAGGAATAGATTCCATCTCGTATAATAACATTCTCGGCTACCTATTTCATCATGTCTCTAAAATACAAGGAATAGGATTCAGGGTCTCGGAATCCGTACCGAGTAAATCAAAAGACACAAATCCATAAATAGGAGTTTGTTAAGAACTCATGATTAAGATCATTCTATATATGACCATTCGGTAGACTCAATTAGAATTTCTATACTTAACGAAAATTATTAGAAATTCATATTGTGTCTGTGTCCCTGTTCCACATAATCTCATTATGCGTAATACACTCATTTAATATCTTGCTATATTAATAGTGCGGATAGCACCGTTTCATTCTAAATAGGAATGACATGTATTAATAATGTTTTAATTAAAGATTCCAAACTTTAATTAAATTCATTACGAACATCTCTTTTTTATTATTATCCTTAAACATTATCCTCTCGCATATAACGCTTATATACAATGTTTAGGGTCACATAAATAATCATGAAATTTTCATTGATATTCATAAAATATTCACAAATATATACACATAAAATGATGAATAAAATCTTTTATTAAATAAATAATAAATATCCTATCACATTTCATGATTTTAGGACACCATTCCCAACACGTCTGGCCCTCTTCATTCACTCACAACCGAGAAGAGGATTTTTGCCTTCAATTTTGAGAGAGAGAGTTGGGAATCTTTGCATTACCTTATCCATTATGTGAAGATTATTGCAAACGTTATAACAACATAAATCTTGTGGAGTGTGAAGGAAAGTTGGGCTTGATTTGTATGGCTAGAGAAGAAGAATGCATGGAATTGTGGGTTGTTGAAGATTATTATGGTCAAAGAACGTGGACAAAGAGAATCGAGCTTAGCCCTGAAAGGCTCATGAGAGAGGAAAGGCATATTTCTCCTGAGGCGTGTTGCACTAATGTAAGAGTGTTTCCAAAGTTATATTCTACGATTTTCAAACTTCCATTTCAGAGATTAACGTGAAGTTGGAAGACCTTATATTAGGTGATGAATTTTTTCCGGTGGATTCTGATTGGGAACCACTTGAGTTCTTGGACGTGATCTGTTCAAAAAGATTAACAACAAGGTCATAATTATTTGTTCTTTTCGCGGCTATTAGGCCTTGTTTCTTCCATAATTTTGCTTTTCATTTTCTTGTTAATCGTATTTAATATTCATAAAGCTAATGCGTATTGAATGTTTCCATCAAATGCTGATTGCGCTTCTCTCCTAATGGTTATGGTTATTATAAGCACAGACAATGAATGGTATTGAATTAGGACATGCATATTTTACAAGTGATATTTAAAAAAACAACAGACCATTTGCGTGATTAATCTAGTGATTTTTATGTAAACATGTGATATATATACATATATATATATATATATATATATATTCTTTACTAAAAAAAAAGGAAACACGTGATTAGACTCATTCTAGAATTGGAGTAAAATCCAATGGCTATATGTGGTTAGATTTATGATGGGTCCCACTATTTTCAGAATTTGAGGTAGAGTCGAGCGCACATGATAAGTGGCTGTGCACTACTACAACGACGTCGTTGGATTAATATGTTTTGAAACGACTTGCGTTTACTCGGATTTGCTTTAAAAATAAAATAATAAAAAAATTTGTTTGATGTTTACAATTTCCATTAACTACTTGGCCAAGAAGACCCTGTTCAACATAACATTTCATCGGATAAGATGCGGCAGATCACGTCGACGCCGGAGAAGAAGCTAAAAATCAGATCTGTGCGCCAAACGAGAAAAATGCGACGAAACTTGAACGGAAATAAATAATTTTCGCTGAAGAAGATGAGGCAAATCAGATCTATGCACCAATGAAGTAGTAGAAGACGAGATCGGCATCGGAAATTTATAAAATTGGATTTTTCAGTGCTTCTCTGATATTATTCATCATGACTTGCAGGTGTATATATACAAGGAAAAAAAAATCAAATCTCCCAATCTATGGGCTAATACCATATTTGTAGAGATCCTGAGCTGGATTACGATCGATATATATATATATATATATATATATGGAAAAAAATTAATCATTGTTGACTTGCTCGTTAACAGATTTGGCGACCTCGGTGATTGATCATAATTTTTTTTTTTTCAAAATTAAGATTACCTAGTAAAAGACTATGGTTTCTTGATTTTTCTTTTACCTCAGTCACAATTTTTTTCGTTCTTTTCTACAGAAGAAAGTTCGTGACCGCATTTTCAAAAAAAAAAAAAAATCGTGACTGCAAAGCTGTCGTGGCGGTGGGGACTTCGTGCTGTCGTAAGAGGAGGAAGGATTCTTTGTGCCGGCACCGTTGGGTTCTTTGTGCAGGTGCCGTTGTCGGGGAAGGGACTTAATGGAGCTCCAAATGTATTCTTATTTTGGATTTTTTTTAAAGTTTTGATTTTGAATTTTTGATAAAATCTGGTGTCTGAGGGTCCATGTAAGTTTGTTTAGGAATCACCGTGGATAATGATTTGTGGGCTATCATTTACATACCCTACCAGTAAGGCAAAAGCATGGCTCCTACCATTGACATGCCTAAATTTTATTTGTATTAATTTTAAATCTCGTTTATTTTGTGAATTTAAATTTAAATTTTAAATTTTATTATAGTAAATTTTTTTTAAAAATAATCATATTTAATTTTTAATAATAATAATAAATTTTCATATAAAATTATATTTTAATTTAAATTAAAAATTTTAATCAACGAATTAAATTAACTTTTAATTATTACCTTCAAGCAACCGTTACTAACGGATCACCTTCACTTTCATAAAGTAAAATAAACTGTATGACCATCCTCGAGAATGTGTCTCCTGTTTGAGTTGTGTTATTATCATGTCTGGACAAACATTGGACTGATTTTCTCGAATCTGATTTAACGTATAACTGTTTATCTCTAGCATGGTAATGAACCCTTTGTACTTGAATGCTCTGAAACCATCACAAACCGCAAAAACGACATCGACAAGATCATTCAACGCCATAATCAACCGCCTCTCGTCCCAAGCATCTCACCATGAAGTTCTCATCACCTTCTCTTCCATGCTCCAATCCAACACCCCTCCGGACACTCATACCTTCCCTAGTTTGTTCAAGGCTTGCGCTTCTCTCCACCTGTTTCCGCTCGGCATTTCCCTCCATCAATGCGTCGTTGTTAATGGGTTTTCCTCAGATCCTTACGTCGCTTCTTCTTTGGTTAGCTTTTATGCGAAGTTCGGGTGCGTCGGGAATGCTCGAAAAGTGTTCGATGATATGCCTGAGAGGAACATTGTTCCTTGGACTTCCATTATTGGATGCTATTCGTGTACAGGCGATGTTGATCAAGCGGTATTGTTGTTTAGTGAAATGAGGCACCAAGGATTTCAGCCTAGTCCTGTTACATTGTTAAGCTTGCTCCCGGGCGTTTCGGAGCTTGCCCATGTGAGGTGTTTGCATGGTTGTGCTGTTTCATATGGTTTTGAGGGCAATGTTAGTTTGATGAATTCCATATTAAGTGTGTACAGTAAATGTGGAGGCATTGAGGACGCAAGGAGCTTGTTCGAATTCATGACTGGGAAAGACATCGTTTCATGGAATTCTTTGATGTCGGGCTATGCCCAGTGTGGGAACTTCACAGAAGTATTTCAGCTTTTCTATAGAATGAGAGATGAAGGTATAAGGCCTGATAAACAGACTTTTGGTTCGGTTGTATCTGCGAGTGCGACACAGAGTAACTTTAAATTGGGAAAATCAGTGCACGGGCAAATTTTAAGAGCTGGGATTAAATTGGATAGTCATATTGAAACCTCACTTGTAACTATGTATATGAAACGTAGAAGTATTGATGCTGCTTTTAAGATATTTGAGCGGATGAAATACAAGGATGTGGTTTTGTGGACGGCAATGATCTCGGGACTTGTACAAAATGACTGTTCAGACAGGGCACTGATAGTTTTCTGTCAGATGATAAAATCAAGAATGCAGCCATCTACTGCTACCGTGGCCAGTGCGCTTGCAGCTTGCGCAAAACAGGGTTCTTTTAATGTAGGAACATCTATTCATTGTTATGTTTTAAGGCAAGGAATAGCTCTAGATACCCCTGCCCAAAACTCTCTCATTACCATGTACGCAAAGTGTGGGCATTTGAATCAAGCTCGTACGATTTTTGCAAGGATGGGGAAAAGAGATTTGGTTTCTTGGAATGCTATGGTTGCTGGATATGCTCAAAATGGGCATTTAAGTGAGGGCCTCTCCTTCCTTTCTGAGATGAGAGAAACTCTTCAGAAACCGGATTCATTAACCGTTGTGTCTCTCCTCCAAGCTTGTGCTTCTATAGGAGCCCTCCATCAGGGAAAATGGATTCACAGCTTTGTTATCAGGAGTTGTCTTAGACCCTGCATCTTGGTGGACACAGCACTGGTTGACATGTACTCAAAGTGCGGTGACTTGGAAATGGCTCAAAAGTGTTTTAATGAAATGTTGGAGCATGACCGGGTCTCGTGGGGCACAATGATCTCTGGATATGGCTGTCATGGCAAAGGAGAGACTGCTTTGAGACTGTATACAGAGTTTCTGCGTGCTGGGATTGAACCAGATCAAGTGATTTTCCTCACAGTTCTTGCAGTTTGTAGTCATAATGGGCTTGTCAACCAAGGTTTAAGCATATACCAGTCCATGACCAAAGATTTTGGTATAGCACCAAACCTTGAACACCGTGCTTGCGTTGTTGATCTCCTCAGTCGGGCTAGGAGGGTAGAGGAGGCATATGAATTCTACAAGAAGACGTTTCCAGAACCTGTAGTGGATGTGCTAGGTATACTTCTTGATGCTTGTCGGGCTAATGGTAATGATGAACTTGGTGAAATTATTGCGAGAGATGTTCTCATGTTGAGACCTGCAGATGCTGGAAACTATGTGCAATTGGCACACAGCTTTGCGGCAATGGACAGATGGGATGGTGTTAATGAGGCATGGACCCAAATGAGGTCTCTCGGCTTGACAAAACTTCCTGGATGGAGCTATGTTGAATTACATGGTACAATTGAGACATTTTTCACAAGTCACAATTCACACCCTCGACTTGAGGAGATAGTGTTGACGTTGAAAACTTTAAGGACTGAAATGAGGAAACTGGGCCATAATTCTGACCAGCCAGATGCGTGAATGTTCTGAAGAACCCTCTACGGCTTACATCAAATGGATTGCAAAATGGCCCAAAAATTATGTTGATAAAAGGCCTAAAGCTTTTTGCAGAAACTGTCAATACAGTAGTAAAAATACCATTTTTTGTGTTATGGGATGTTCGAAAAGAGAGTTAAAAAAAAAGTGTTGTGGGGATTTTGCTATCTTTCAAATCCTAATAAGAAAATCCAGTTATGAAAATTCGAAGAGTTGAGGTATGGATGGTAACTGTCTCCTCTTCTACTATTTTTTTTCCTTCTTTTCGGATTGAAAACTGAATATGTGATCCGGAGTAATTCTATATAGTTACCCGATGTAAATTGTAACAGGTGGAATTTAAGCGACAAAGTGAATGATCATCATATCATGTTGCGTTTTTTTGAAAGATTCGGTCTAGAATCATACATAATAGGAATTTTTTATCAGGCTCCTCTTCGATGACTGCCAAGTTCAGGCCAATGAAAGTCTACATTTATCACATCAAAGAAGGTAGTTTAACTGACATTCTCAAAGACTCATTGAATATACTATATAGGTAAGTCACATCACACATGACAACACTCCTACTGATTGTGCTATGTTGTTGTTGGGACATTTTTGCTCATCTTCTTACTTGTTTTTATGCTCATAATTGTATTCGAAGTGGCAGCGGTTAAGGATTTACAATCAGACTGTTGGAAGCAAAAACCGAAACTGCTATCAACCTCTAATATTGATTACATAGTAGTTGGAGGAGTATGTTATAGTGCCACTAGTTGGAGGAGTGTGTTAAGGATTTACAATCAGCCGAACCCTGTTATAGTGCCATTGGAGGAGTTCTCTCCGTTATTAGGTAAGGGGTGCGTTTGTATTGTCGAGTCATGTGAGTAGCACCCGATTCTTGACTCTGATTTTATCCTGTATCTTAGCCCTTTAGTGGCTTTTTATTGAATAGATGTTTTTTTTTTTGGTATTCATCAGGGATGTGGTTTTCGAGCTTGTAGTATTTCATAAATGGGGAATAGCTCATGGGAGCTTAAACCCTCAAAACATTTTGCTTCTCAACAGATAACGTTTGTTTGCAAAGCTAGCTGTGGTAATCATTCTTATTTAGTTATCAATAGCACAAAACACTATTTATAAATGTAATATGGTAAATGAATGCAGCTTCTATATGAGTATACCTGATTTGAATGAACGAGTTCTTAGTAATGCCTTTTCTTTTTTTTTTTTTGGGTGAAGTAAATTTCGTGTTTGTTGATTCAATTTCCTAAAACTGCTAACTTACGCAAAAAGAAATATGATTTTTGGGTATAGGTTTAGGATGTGGTATATTAGATTGGGAAACACCAGAACAACTTCTGGGTGAGAGGCAATCAGCTGCTGGGGACGTTTAATTTTGGTTGTGTACTTTTCTTCTGCATAAGTAGGGGTGATCATCCTTTTGGTGAGATTAGAGATGAACGTTTTCAGAATATTGAGGAGAATAAGAGGAAACTTTCTCGGGTCAAGTATTTACCAGAAGTTATTCGTCTCCTCTCTAATTTGTTAAATCCTGATCCAAAAAGGTATGAGGTCTTTAACATCAATTCCTCTATCATTTTGGAGCTGTTTGGCATTTAATGTATGATTCTTTTGATGATATGAAGGTCTTACCAGCAAGCACCTCTGAGCATATAGTTTTGAGGTTTCCGAAAAGCTTGTGTTTGAACCTTATTGTTCGTAACAACTTTAATGTCTTTTTATTTATATAGCAATCTAGTTGGTAGGACTATAATCTTATTATGGAGGTAATGTTGGTCGATACCCTTTAAGACTCGACGGTTAATTCTACCAGGGAATGGCAAATGTTAGATCAAGTTTATCTTTTCACTTGTGATTATAAATGTAATATGGTAAATGTTTTTTTTTTTTTGCATGTGTTTGGTCTGTGTTGTGCACTCAAATTTTTTTTTTCTTTCAAAAATGGTATTTATCCCATAGGATAACACCCAATCAATCTCACCTACCCATCTAGTAAAATCCACCTTGTGTGAGTAGCGGATAAATAGGAGTGCCCTTTTTCTTTTTATCTCGACACAAACTATATAAACTCAAGACATCTATAGTTGGTTCGATTAGGGATGTCCAGTTCCTTTAGGTTTTGTATATTTGTCTTTCGAGTTCTTTCTTTCTTTCTTTCTTTTTCGGTCGAAATATAATTGCGTCGTGATTTCTTCTTTTCAATCAATTCAATTACTTATATTTTCATACTTTAGAAACATACTTAACTGAAGGAAATACCGAAATATGTAAGTTTCAAACTGAGTAATTAATTTAAATTTGATCTCTTGCACGAGATGTGACTATCGGGCAAGAGGAAAGGTGGGTGTGACTTCATTCCCGGAGAAGAAGCAATGACGGTATTTGGAGAATAAGCAATTTAAATAAAAAATAAAAAATAAAAACAAAAGAAGAAAAAACTTTATTTGAATACAATTAACAAGAAAATAAAAAGAGAAAAAAAAAAAAAAAACAAATTAAGGAGAAAACGAGGCCTAATAGCTGTGAAGAGAACTAATTATGAGCTTGTTGATAATCTTTTGGAATAGACGTCCAAGAACTCGAGAGGTTCCCAATCAGATTCAATCGGGAAAAATTCGTTATCACCAAGTAATAAAAGATTTTCCATCTTCACAATTTCTGAAGTGGACGTTTGAAAATTGTATAATACGACTTTGGAAAGACTCTTCATTAGTGCAACATCATTATTAGACAAAGCCTCAGGAGAAATATGCCTTTCCTCCCTCATGAGTCTTTCAAGGCTAATCTTGTGTCTCTTTGTCCACGTTCTTTGGCCATAATATTCTTCAACAACCCACAATTCCATGCATTCTTCTTCTCTAGCCATACAAATCAAACCCAACTTTCCTTCACACTCCACAAGATGTATGTTGTCATAACGTTTGTAATAATCATCTTCACATAATGGATAAGGTAATGCAAAGATTTCCCAACTCTCTCTCTCAAAATTGAAGGCAAAAATCCTCTTCTCGGTTGTGAGTGAATGAAGAGAGCCAGACGTTGATACCACATAAGGCTTTAAATCCAAGGTCTCGACATAAGGAAAGATGATGTTTTCCGGTAAGCACTTCCATGACCAAGTTTTGGAATCAAAAACCTCGCATCTTAGGACGTTAAAGAGCGTAGACTTGTGAATTCTACAAGGATTATTGGGCTCCGAAAACCTAACAATTTTGAACCGCAAAGGGTTTGAACCCAACACAACCATGGCGGTTTTTCTAGTGAAGTACCGCGTCTTTGGATTTGGTATTTTCCACCATTGTTGCGTTGTGGGCTTGCAGACGATGTATTGAGGAATCATTGATTTCGCAAATTTCTCTATCTTGCAGAGAAGAAGACCTTGCTTGGTAGACGCTTTAATCTTCATATGTCTTGGTAAGAAGCTGAGAGAGAGCTTGGATTTAGTGTCCATGGAGATAAAAGTACATGAACGTTTGTTGCTTCTCAATGTTTGGATGAAGAAACCGGAGACTGTTCTTGTTCTTTGGAGGAAGAGTTTGGTGAAACTTGAGTGGTAAGTGTCTTCTTTCAATCTCTTACAAACGGCTCTACATCTTCCTACAGTTTCTGGGGAAGTTCTTGTTAGAATCTCATTGAGAATAACATCAAAAGGAATATCGTATGGTGAATCCATGTCAAACGAATGAGTATGGAAGGTAGAAGAGAACTGAGAATCTGGTGAATTTTTTTGGACTCTGGAGAAGTGACTAATGGATAAGGATACACGCATACATATATATATATATATATATATATATATATGGGAGATAGAGAGAGAGAGGACCAACTGTAATTGGACTCAAACTAGGAAACATCTAATTATAATAATGATTATCTCTTTTTCTTTTTCGAGAGTTTATTTGAGGTAGTTATTATTTCGGACTACTAGTCCTAGTCGTTGTAGAAGTCCTATATCAAATTTCAAAAAGTCTAGGGTATGCCCTTATATACAAACACACAAGAAACTTTTATTGAAAAGGGAAAATCACTAGCTTGGTTTTAGACCTGAAAACAAACTTCACACAAGCAACGACATGTCGTTGAACAAATCAAGGACATAAAAACTCGACTGACATGCCGTTTTTCCAACTTAAATGATAAAAAGATTTTAAACGGCAATTGACACGTCGTTTCAGAAATTAAATGGGGCAATATAATTGTAATATATTTGATCCGAGACTATCATGTCGAGTAACCTCTCTCTAGTTTACAATACATTTGACCTATGGTTATAGAAAAATATTTATTCAAGTTGATTTCGTCGGTTGAAGTAATAAAAGAAAATCAACTCACAATTTCACCATCATATCGAATAAAGTTTGAATTACACCCTGACTTCATCACCCTTAAACTGCCACTATGAGTCTATGATTGTTTCTTCGGATATTCCCTTGGCCCAAATATTGTAGATCCAATTCTCACGTTAGTGCTGCCCATTTCAATCTGCAAAACCATCAAAGCTTTACTAAGTTTTTCAAAAACAAAAAATTAAGGTGATGATTGGGGAATACTAAATGAACAACGTAGCAATAGATTGATTCTCACAGCAAGCTCAAAGTCTCCAGACATGCCCATTGATAGCTCACACTGCTCTTCAGCTATTCCGAGTGCCTTACAGACCTCGCTTCTGCAGTTTGCTAGTGTCTGACAAGACCATACTTTTAATTAAGTTCGAGAAAGATGCAACGACTGAATTAGTCATGAAATTACATTTAATCTGTAAGAGTATTACCTTGAAATTTTCTGGGGTTGATGTGTAGTCCAGCATGCCAATTGTCATTAGCCCACAAAACTCGAGATTTGGACATCCCAAACTAACATGCTTTGCAAGCTCCACACATTCAGACGGCTCAACACCAGATTTTGCTGCAATAAGTAAGCAGAAATCAGATATTATTTTAAATTAAGATTTGAAGGGTAACCAAATTGTGTAGGTAATATAATAAGAAAATGTTGGACTTCAAGATTCAGTAGTCGTTATTTGAAAAAGACAAGTAATCTGCACCAGTTCAGGAAAATTAAATAGAGAAAAACAACTGTATGCTTCTAACTCCAAGACCATAGAGCAGGATATGAAAAAAGTTGCGGACAGAATCAACTGCTGTCGCCAAAACACCAGCATTGTGAATATGGTTTAAGGAAAAAAAAAAAAAAAGAGCTATAGAAGAATTATATGTCAGAATAAACTATACAGAGGATTTGAGCCCAAAAAAAAAATAGAAACAGAAGAGAATATGTTAACATATTCTTTCAAACAAGTGATTGGGAATCTGTTTTGTAACCAAATGCTACGGAAAAGCATAAGCCAAGGGGGATTTGGTAACTAGCATCTTATTCCAGAATTTGCATTTAATTTTGAAAAATGTAGACTATGATCATTGGTGATGCAATTATCATATATGCGGCAATGCATAAAAACTGCCATATAGCAGAGTAGGAACCAATTATTCTGCAAAGCAAATTCTTATTTACTGAAACGCATATATTTGTTGATGATGATAAATACCAGAGCTTTTTTATTTTCTTTATGTTGCAGGAAGTAATTCCAAAATCTTGGAAATGCGTAAAATTCCACATATGAAGAGTCTAGAATACATGATTAAGTGAACTCACACTCTTCCCCACTGGTATTAACTTGGACCAGGACCTTCAAAGGCTTTCTCCCCATGCTTCCAACAAAGCGATTAAGTTGATTTGCAATCTGCACACAAAGTGAAGATGCTCAGCTAAGCATATACCGTACAGTACAAGGGAAAAAAAATCCTTTTTGAACACACAGAATCTTGTAAGCGCCGAAACCTTATCAAGAGGAAAAAGTTGTGTATTCTAGTATTCTTACTACAAAATAAAGCAAAGATAGTTCATTTTACATGAAACCACAAGTAAGCATTAAAACCTATGAAAACATAACAATTTCTCAGTAAAAATCTTTACCTTCTCGTCATCCACACTCTCTACCATCGCAAGGTTCGGTACACCGGCTGTGAAAAATTACAATTGGACAAAATCAGTACAAAAACCTCAAAATTTTGCTCATTGAAAATCTTTGATGACCTGCTTCATTCAAGAGAGGGATCTGATCTTACTTAGAAGCATTTTGACCTTATTGCTCTGCAAATTTCCGATGAAGTGCCACTCGATATCCTCCGGAAGCTGCAATTTTCGCAATCCAGAGAAAAAAAAAAAAAAAATCAGCCGTGATTTGCAGAACCAGAAACAGTATTTCAAGCTCTGAATTTTTGTACTCCGATCAGTTCGAAACCAAACAGAAAGAGTGAAAAAAGAAAATCAGAAGTGTCGTTAGAATCGACGCGCCCAATCGGAAAGGAAATTACGACCTGACCTGAGGGGCTTTTTCGACGATCTCCTGGACGTAATTCTCGCCGAAGCAGCGGTGGCCGGCGTCGTAGACCTGGCTGATGAGAGAGACGGGCTTGGTTTTGCTCACAGCCACGACTCGGATCGTTTGGGACCCGCGGCCGGAGCACTCGGCGGCCTGGTTGACGCGGTGGAGGACCGAGCGGAGCGCTGCGGCGGCGACGCCATCCATGGCGGCGGAAGTGGCCATGTTGGACTCGTCTTTCTCCACCACAACCTCTTTATCGTTATCCCTCTTTGCTGGCTCCAGATTGTTCATCTGACAGCGAAGGAACGGGAATACGGTGCGTTCCAGTTCTGTTGGATTCCAGAGTCCGAGAGCCTGAGCGACGACAGGCGTTTTGCATTCTGCTCATATATACTTGACGCCGGTGGAAACGAAGTCGTTTGTAAAATATGGAAACGACGATGTTTATGCTGCTTTTGCCTAATAATATCTTCATTTTTTTTTTCTTTTTTTAATAATTTTGTAAAATGTATAATTATCATAATTGTACTCTTATTTTCTTATTAAGGTTTTATCTTACTGAATTTTTCTTTAAAAGATTTTTCTTTAATAGATTTTTATTTAATGAGGTAATCATAAATAAAATATCCATTTTCATATTTTCATTAACTATTTAAACTTATATATTTATCAACTTGTTTAAAAATTCAAAAATAAAAAATAAAAATTGCATGCTTAGATGGGCTTGCCCATCTAAACTCATGATGGGCCTTGAGTGGGCCAGCCCATTCAAGGCTCATGGCACGGCCCATCCTGACCCGCTGCACAGCCAGCCTAGCCCACGTAAAATTGGCCCGTGGTGTAGGTTGGGCAGAGATCATTCTTATACGGACCGGCCCGGCCCGGTTCACAAAATTTGTGGGCTGGGCCCGCCCAGCCCGCGTGGGCCTAAGGAGAACGGGTCGAGCCGGGCCGGCTCGCTCTTGCATCTCTAATAAATGGAATAAAATTATTTGGTGTCATATATAATTAAATATTATTATCACTGGTGTGTCTAAATTTTAAAATCATTCCCATTTTATCTACTAAAGTTTAGAAACTTTCAATTTTCTTCTTAAATTTTAATAAATTGTTCCCATTTTAACTCTTCTGTTATAACTCACTTTCCTGTAGTCACGTAGTTTTTTTTTTTTAATTTATGCTAAAAAATAACATATAAAAACCACATGAAAACACTTAACTTTCTCTTTTTCTGTCTGAATTTAATAGAAATTTTCACCAGAAGACTTAAATGGGACAAATACAAAAAGCATGAAGTAAAGTGAAAAATTTTAGAGTTTAAGAGGCCATAAAGTTGAAATGAACTCAAAGTTCATGGACACTAATAAGATCAATTCATCATTAATTGATAAATAATTTATTTAATTGTAACGTTTTTTTTTCCTGAAGAATTGTTAAGAATTTAGTCACTAAACAGGACGTACGACTTGTTCTATTAAGAGAGAGAGAGAATATGTTCTCTTTATTGATTCCTCTTGAGTAATCTTTTTGTTGGAATTTGATTTTTCTCACATAGAATATTGCTGAAGTTAGTTAATCCTTCTCCTCACGTTTGTCTTTCTAGTTTCTTCCAATTTGATCCCTCTTCGGTAATTTCGATATTGGAGCAGCTCACCCACATGGTTATAAGGAATGTTAGTTGAAATGAATATCATGATTTTTAAATTGATACACTATTAGATGCAAAATTAATAGTAATTTAGGGAGATGAAGTGTACATATTGCTGTTCAATCGGATTGCCTCGCCAAATATTTTTGATCTAACCCATCTAAGAATTTCCAATGATATAACAATTAATCCCAAAACTCCAAGTATCCCCACATAAATCCATTTCCAATTTGTAGCATGTCTTTGATCCTTGATCCCTTGGAATATTTCCGCTATAATCAGAGCGATTAACACATAGCCAAGAAAATGATGGCATATCACCCATCCTTTGCGGTAATAGTGCTCTTCCCCTTGCTCTAATTTCTTTGGCTGCCAAGTAAAGGCAAGCATCTGGAATATATATACATATATATATATATATATATATATATATATATATATCAAGATATGTTAAACAAATTTAATAATTAGAGAAAATTATTAAAGATGCTAATCAATATGTAAAAAGTAATTGATTAATTCTTAAACTCACCTGTATAGTTGTGAAAGTGAATATAATGATACCAAGAATTCTATCTGGTTTATCAGCATGTAATTGCTTGGGAGAAGTAATTCCTGCCAATATTCCAATAAGCCATCCGATTGTGCCCAAAACATATCCAGTGCTTTGAAACATTATGTGAAAAGAGTACCACTCATTCCACTGCATGGGATATTTTTGAAAATACCTTGCAATAACCACCCCAACAGGCAACAAAGTTCCCCATCCTACGATAATTAGGATTCTATGTGCCTGTATATAGTCATCAACGTAACAAGCTTTTAATTTATATTATTCAAAATCCTATATTTTAATTAAGAGCCCAAAATTATGAATGAGTAAAATTGGCTACAAGACTCTAAAACTTCAAAATCGTAGAAATTTTAAAGATTTAAAAGTGTACGTTTTTTTCAAGCTAGCTTTCGATCAATCTTACGGATTTTAGATGCCGGTGGTGTGGGGTGCTTCGTCCATGCCATGATCGGAGATTCGTCGTGACATCTGTGTCTTCAACTCTTTGATCAACCGAAGAATCGTAATGAGCAACAAGCTGCATTTTAGGTTCCATGAATGAAGAGGCTTGGGCACGGATGCAATGGAGGAGAATTATCGAACTGAAAATTATGAGGCAATAAGTAGTCATATATAACTCATATGGCCTCTAAATGATCTCTTTCTTTCTCTGGGAAATAATTAGGGTTTACCAAAAAATGTTCAACTTCAAGAGGCTGCTCGATGGATTGATGACTAACAATTCCATATTTATAACATAACAAGATGCAAGTAAATTGAAATCTGATAGAATGTGTATTCGAAAAAGAAAAATAGGAAAAGAAGAAGAGATCGAATGTTTTATATATAATATTTGGGCTCATGATGATCTAACGTACAGAATATTGTCGATTATTAATATTATGAATCGAAATCTTTTAAGTACTATTTGGCAGTTCATGAGAATATGTTCTTTCCTTGCTATATTGGGGAATCATTACTGTCTTGTTTTAAGAGATGTTGAATAATCAGATTTTATTCGCCATCGTTTTCTTTTATTTCCTTTCCTACTTTCCGTATTATACCGGCATACATATATAAATTATTACGACATGCTTTTACTTTTTGGTTCCAAATTTTAGGTTCTTGTTAATACTAATTAATCAATTTATCGTTCATGGGGAATCTAAGACCCTCAAAACTGAGCAACTCATGACAGGCTTACCTCGCAGCAAAAGTTTTACTTTTAGGTGGAGAAAGAGGAGTAACGGTAGAGATTTAAGGAACTTTTCCTAGTCTTTTTACACCAAGTAGTATGCCATTATTTAGACATTTTATTATAGAGATCTGCATATGATTAACTGCAAATTTAAAATTTAAAATATAAAGAAATTACCAATTAGAGAGTGCAAGAACATCATATATTATTTTTCAAAACTATAGTATGTAAAATTTAAAAGTTTGCAATTAATTGTAGTTTTTTTTTTTTTTTTTTTTTCCTTTAAAGAAGAGATTATAAAAGGAAAGGCCACATACGTAGTTACATGAATTCTTCTCAAAGTGGATTGTACATAAATTCATATCACTACTATAGAGATGAAAGTTCGGGGCGCCCAGTCTGGGCCTCATAGCACGGGCTGGGCCGGACTTAAAAAGATGAGGGTTGGCCCAGTCCTAAAGTCCGACAGGTCTAGCACCAGGCGGGCCTGACCCAAAATTCACAAAGTATTTTTAAGAAAAATTTAAAAAAAGATGTATTCTAACTGGACCGACCCAGCCTATATAAGGTCTCAGGCTTGAAGCCCAGACCCGACCCGGCACAGCCCGAGAGTTAGGGCCGAATACTTAAGCAGGCCAAGCCGAACATTTAAGCGGGTTGGGCCGGGACTAGGCTAACAATGCCAGACTTTAGACTGGCCCGTTTAATCCGGCTTAAACTTACAACTCTAGATCACTGTAACACTTCCAAATTGAACGTATGACTTATACATGGGAACGAGGTGGCTTACCATCCCGCCAAGCTTTCAATGGTTAACTAATTGGAGTTGTTCACTTAACTTAGCGGCCATATATATGCATAAGTTAAGACATCTCTCCCACTGAGGGAGAAAAAAACAAATAGCAAAACAAAGAATGAAGCTTGGCGCAATTAGCAACCAAAATTTCGGGCGTGTGTTAATTTTGTTGAATTATTTTGTGCTTCTTCAGCCAAAAAGAATCATTTTTTACCTCGAATTAATGAGGGATACAGATCCTCTAGACGTGTAACGACTTTTCTTCCTATCCAATCAAAAGATTTCTTTTAATAGAAATCAAGTGATATGTAAGCAGTCTTACGAATTTAGACCACACACACAAAAAGCCATACGAACCCAAACTAAAAACCCCCAAGCCATATCAATAATTCTTCACTCCTATAGCATTCCTCCACCAAAAACTATAATCGCATCTAACATAATTTTTTTTACATATATAATAGCAGCCATGAAACTATTAGTAGTTCTCTTCATCCTAATCTCAGCAACATTAATAGATATCAATGCTAACGCAGCCACAAATATGGCATTAACGTCCGAAATGCGACAGCAAGTTGAGAGTACTAGTACTAGTAGTAGTAGTACCACTTTGCTACGGGGGACAAGCCGATTTCTCGCGCAGCAGAACGTGGCGGCGAGGATGACCTGCGACAAGTTTCCACGGGTTTGTCGATTGAAGAGCGGCGAGGGACCCGATTGTTGCAAGAAGAAATGTGTGAGTGTGAAGACTGACCGCTTCAACTGCGGGATGTGCGGCTACAAGTGCAAGTACACTGAGATTTGTTGCAAAGGGAAATGCGTTCATGATGCGTCGTTTGACAAAAGGCATTGTGGTGGGTGCAATAACAAGTGCAAGATTCATGATGCGTCGTTTGACAAAAGGCATTGTGGTGGGTGCAATAACAAGTGCAAGAAGGGACACCTTTGCGGTTATGGGATATGCTTGATTAGTTTCATTGATAGCAATTCTAGTTTTACTTTACACATAATCACATTTACACTGTTAACTAAATTATTATTTGCCCTCAATGTTAGGGGCATCATTTTCTGTTGTTGAAACAATAAATTCATACTATGTACTATAGTATGTATACGGGTGTATAAATGTGATATTTTATCCAGACCAATTAGGG